AGATATCGCTCCGTATTCTATCCTTTTTGATCACGAATATGCAAGTAGGTAGTGCCGAAGGCGATTATACAATCCCAGGGAGAGCCTTTATCATCCAATCATAGACCAAACTGCTTCCTCCTACTGTCCACTGCCTTGCAAATGCACAGATCGTGTGTGTTTCCGGCGTTGCAAAGGTCATACAGAGCTTACAAGTAGAGTTCGCTTTCAATGCTGTGACCTCAAGCGCCCTATGCTGATGAATTCATGGACTGTAGAAAAACATAGTAATCGTTTCGACATCTTTCATGAATTAGTCAACAGTCAGGACAGAGTGGAGTTTTCTTCTTTACAGGCTGTAGAGAACCCATGAGCTTCCTTTTAGAGGCCTCATTAGCAGTGTGTCGCAGAGATGCGATAACTGTAAGGAAGTGTTCCTCAAGAGTTTGCAAAACACCCAAATCCAAAAGGGATTAAATTCATCTTGAGTAAGCAAATCTCACAAGTGCCACACGTGCCCCACCTGACACAAGTGGTTGGGCAGTTCTTAGAGGGCTTTTGTACCGCCAAGACGGAGACGGCTGAGAACTTCGACGCATCAACTCCATGTTGGTGCATTAACACTTCGTCGCCAAGGCATGCCTTCCACCACGCCTGTCAAATCCGCAAAAAAATGCAAGTAACTCCATGTAAACCAGAGCCACGTCACTTTGCATGTCGCGTATTAAATGACTCCATTGCCTGCAAAAATAAGGCATCCACAAAGGCATCAAACCAGCAACACTTACAAGGAAGGAAGGTCAGATTGAGATTTCGCAATCCTCCTTTGACGTTACTTTCAATTCAAAAACGTCACCTTCAAATAGCTTGCAAATACAGCAAACACACACACTGCAGAATCGCAAATACTTCTATTGGGTAGGGAATAATACAAGTAATAAGCCAACATTTTTACGACTTTCGATCACAGTAAACAGGCAGTAGATCAGTCTCTGCAAATAATGAAAGACTTCGTGCTTGGAGTATTTGGAACGTTTCAATTTTCTTCCGCTATCCGAGATGGCCAAATGTCATCACACTCGTCCGTAAATTGCGCCAAAGTTGGTGTCAGAGCGCACAAAAACTTCATGTAGATAACTAACTCCGAGTTAACCAAACTGAGTACAACAGAAAAGCAGGTTATTGCAAAACAATGCAAAGAGGAAGAAATTGGGTAACTGAAAATTAGAGCAAATCTCACCCCTGCTTTGGACCGCCGTCAGGAAACAATGCAAGATCCGTCAACCGACTCCGTAGAGAGGCTTTTATTTCAGCGTGAACACGAAGCAGTAGATTCTAGGAAAGAAAAATGAGTAAAGTAAGCCTGACAACTTACAGTGAGCATTTCAGACGACAGTATGTCACTAGTGGAATCGGTGAGTTTGGATATGCACTTGAAAACCGATCGCATTTCATCGGTGGGAGTCGGTGGTTGCGGTTTCCAGGACTGCATAATTCTGGCAATTCGGTCAGCCAGTAAATAGGTGAGTTTATCCATCACTTCTGAAATGTTGGATCTATAACAGTAGGGCTAGATTACCTGCTCTATTCGCATTAGTGAGCCTAATCCTCGAATAAGTGAATAAGGAATAGGAACCCACCTGATGGCTTTTTCCACGGCCAGAAAAGGATCCGACAAGCGCAAAGCCCTTACCTTCTTCGTGGCCGTATTCGGCCCATCCGTCTTCTCCTGAAGTGATTTGAATTGGCTGCAATAACAGGGAAGAGTGATGAGTGGTGGTAAAACCGATGCCAATGCTTGAAGGCTTAATAGAG